ATACTTTGGTGCTCTGAGGTTACCCGACCCACAGGTCTCCTTGTCATCCCACATCTTAACATTGTCGATCCGTAGCATCGCGAGTCGCGTCTCAATCCTGCACCTCTACGCTTAGCCAGTTCTCTGTGCTTTGCTCGACATCTTTCGATCCCGTCGTTTTTTTGCGCTTCCAACCAACAATTTCCCAGTACGCCTTCAGCTTGACCGACTGCTACCCGGCATCACCATGGAGCAGACTTGCATGACCATCCACAGTAAGATGCTGCCTCTTTCGGGCGTGCGACCGTCTTGGCATATTAGTCCTCGACCATGAGTCGGCTGACATAAGCATCGCCAGATCTTTCTCCCCAAGCCAATATTCTCTTCGCATCCGAGTCCATCGTTGACATTCTCGGCTACCACCCTCATGAGATCCAGGACAGATCCTGCTTCGAATACTTCCACCCCGACGAGGTCACCTTCGCTCGCTCCGTCCACAGCCGCGGCGTCCAGCTTGACAAGGTCGCTGTCCATCATTATGCTCGCATATTGTCACGCGACGGCCAATGGGTGAGCTGCGAGTGCTGCTTCACTGTTGTCCAGGATGTCTTGGTTGCTTGTACAAGTGTGTACCGCAGAGGCGAGAAGAGCGAGAGTGCGTGCAACCTCCTGAGCATGTGCGCATAGTTGCCTTTCAATGCTGACTGCAACCCCGCCAGGACGTGCCATTGAAGCGCGTCAGATCCGACGTCAGTTTTCGAACTCCCCTCGCGATCCTCGATACCACATGCTCGAGTACCTGTCGCCCAAGTTCCGGACGCAGTCAACCGAGCGGGAACCCCGAGCAGCTCTCATAGTCAACCGATTCACCAGAACCCTAACGGTCATGTTCGCAACGAACGCTGTGTCCACCATTCTCGGCGTTCGCCCCGACCAGATGAGGGACAAGAGCTTCTACGAATGCATCCAGGAGAATTGCCTGCCCGACGCCATCCGATGCTTAGAGCGCGCCAAGGCCAACGATTCGATTGCTTACTTGCGCTTCTGGTATCGGGACCCCCGCCGAGAGGAAGACTTTGACGAGGAGGAAGACGAGGAGGAAGACGACGAGGATGAGGATGGGCGCCGAAGCATCAACTCAGGCGATTCAGAATGTGGTGATGCTCAGCTATACAGTCACATGGACATTGATGTCAACCCCTCTAGCCCCAAGATCAAACTGGAGCACGAGGACTCCCATCAGTCCATGTCCAGCATCAGTTCCGCTTTCAACGGAGTCGCCATGGAGTCTGGCTCGAGCGGCGGCGTCTACCAGACTCCTCCCAGCGCCGGCTCTCGCACCGGACCAGGCCGTCCTGTCCCTGAATCCGGCCGCATGCCTCGTGCTCGAAGGAGACGAGCACCTGTACCCCCCTTGGAGCTTGAGGCTGTCGTCTCGTGTACCTCGGATGGGCTCGTCGTTATTCTCAGGCGGGCTCACCCTCCCATCCCGTCCCCGCATCCACCCCTCCTTCCCCCTTTCAGTTTTGAGGGCGGCCTCTTCGCCGCTCCCTGGGCCAGCAACCCATTCGCCCAGAGTACCGACTGGGGCTCAATACAACTTCCAGTTGCCTTACGCGACGCAGCAGCCATCCCAATACGGTGGCACTGTCAAGGCCGCCGACGGCCCGCCTCTGGATCCACTTATGAGCTCGATTCGAGGCGTTGCCGTCTTGGCGTGGGCTCTCATTGGCATCGACGGGAACCTCGCGACGTACACTCGTGGCCTGCCTCAGGGCAAGGCTCAACCTCCAGATGGAATACCCATCTAGGACCCGAACGCCGGCAGCGATTCGCCCTATCTAGGGTCCGAGAACCACGCTGTGCAGCTTTGGGCTGACTATGAAAGGGGAATGGCCAGCACGGCGGGGCATGCGCCATACGTCGTTAACGGATATGGCCGTGATCCGCATCGAAACCATAAGCAGCAGTAGGCTTTCTATCCATATTCCATACTCCATATGGAACGATTCTTGTATGGATTACGACTTTCTCTCCGTATGGAATCTTATTCCATACGTATGGAATAATAAAATGACGTCATCGTTTCTCATACGATCGGCCTCGGTTAGGACGTAGGGGTGGTTTCTCGCCATCTAGCCATAACATCGTCGTTCTCTTCGCTCTCTGCTTCGATCAATTCAACTGGGATCCCTTGTGTGATACCGCTTTAATCCAGCTCTTCATGCACTCCCCCTTTTCAATTGTGCCACTTCCTAACTGACATCTATCCAGTGTGTCCAACAACCAAGTAAAGCAAAATTCGGACCCCTTACTTGACTTGGTTGACAGTACCCCCTTGCTTGACTTGGTTTACTCGACGAGAGTGCCATCCTTTACTTGGTTGGTTGATATTACTCGACTGTTTACCAACTACATTCGTTTTCCCTTTTCTGCTCCTGGTGGTAGATCTACGCCAACATGCCGCTTCGAAGCAGGTGCTTCTGGCATTCGTATGTGGATGAGTACGATCAGTAGCAACGTAATGTCGACAATTCTAACGCCCTCGTTACTAATCCATACGAATACTGGCACGCTAGGCGACACAAGTACCCCAGGTTGAGTATGATGGCGCTGGACTTACTGACCGTAGCCCCCATGTCAGCGGAGTGTGAGAGGTTGTTCTCAGTGGCCGGGCAGATGGTTACGAAGCTGAGGAATCGGCTAGATGCCTCCACCATAAGCTGTGCCAGACCTTACGCAGCTGGCTACGGGCAGGATTGATCCGGCAGTTGGATCAAATATTGACAGAGCCATCGAGGGAATGATGGCGATATATCAGGGATTAGGGGTTGAGTAGGGGATACAATAGCTCACCCCGCATTTTGTGGACATCCTCCCACATTGTGGATTCACATCCATATGGATACATATCCATCCATACCACCGCCCTGATCTTAGTCAGCATCCACATCCATTCCATGTCCCCTGATGTGTAGTGGAGTGTAGTGACTTTAATCGGAACTTCCGATACCTGTCGATTCCAGAGATCAAGGCCATCCAAGCAGCCAACCGGTATAATATGGACGAGACTGGTATCCTAGAAGGCCGAGGATCTAATGGCATGGTACTGGGATTGACAGAAGCCCAGAATCTACGAAAAAAACAGCCTGGATCCAGAGCCTGGACGTCTATCCTTGAGTGTATCAGCGCAACAGGCACTACGCTTCCCCCCTTGGTTATTTTCAAAGGCAAAACAGTCCAACAGCAGTGGTTCCCTCTAGACCTACAGCCCTACGATAGCTGGAAGTTTACTGCTACTGAAAACGGATGGACCGATAACGATACAGCAGTCTACTGGCTTAAGGAGATCTTCATCCCATCCACCCAACCAACTGACCCCTCAACGGCTAGGATACTTATCCTAGACGGCCACGGTAGCCATGAGACAACAGAATTCATGTATCTCTGCTACAGCAATAATATCCACCTGGTTTTCCTACCTCCCCATACGTCACACGTCCTACAGCCACTCGACCAGTCAGTTTTCGGTCCCCTCAAGGCAGTCTATAGGAAACAGCTAGGATACCTCAACCAGTGGAACGATTCTACAGTCGTAGGCAAAAGCAATTTCCTTACCTGTTATCGGAAGGCTCGACAGTCGGCTTTCACACCCCAGAATATACGCAGTGGGTGGAAATCAACAGGTCTATGGCCAGTATCGATGACCTGGCCCCTCCTCAGTCCTCTACTCCTCGAGAATTCCACCAACCCACTAGAACAGTCAATTCTATTTTAGATAGGGCTATTGGGCCTAGGGCTATCCAGCAACATGAAACAGCTACATCTGCAGTTACATGGTCGACCTCTAGGAAGACGGTTGATCTACAGGTCCAACTAGCCCAGTTCAACAAGCTAGATCAACCTATCAATACGCAACGGCTACAGTTCCGTATGGTTCAGAAAGGCTTCGAGGAAAAGGATTACCTCTTAGCGACCCAGCAACGCAGGATTCAGGTTCTAGAACAGCATTTAGAACAGGCACGGCCTAGGAAACGGAAGAAGGTCCAAATCAGCCCAAACTCGAAGTTTGCCGATATCGAGGCTGTCCACAAGGCCCAGGTCGAGGCAGGCGATAAAGAGGATAGTAATGGTGAAATCAGCGACATCGAATCACTTAGTGAATCAGAGGACTGTATTATCATTGCATAGCAACAGGTGGAAAATTTGGGTTGAATTGAGGGTATGGTTTTGGGTCGGCAGGTTTTGGGTGGCTGGAATGGGGGGGTGGCCGGAAAGTGGGTGAGCAACGTTAACCGGGTACCCAGTCGACATTCTGACTGGGGTACCAAAACAACAAGTGGTCCTCTGAGCTTATCAGCCTCGTTGAAGAGAGCGCCTGTGAATATGTCGTCGACAGCTACTACGATCATTCTCCCGCCGCCCTTGCAACGATGACCATAGTTCGCTACCTAGCTAGGGGTCCGTTCACTGGACTTCGACGTTGTTGGGCTGCATCGCGGTGGTGTTGGCCCCGGCCTCTTTTCTATTCTGGATGTACGGGCGCGGGCTCAGGAAGCGGGGCCCATATGCTAGGGATTGTGTTCATTCAAACCAACTCAAGTATTTCGAGAGATTACAGAGTTGTAAAAGTCGAGCCAGACTTTCGGGGATGTCTCCCCAATGGCCAGACCCGATCCCGCGGTGAAACGGCCGACGAGATGAGAGATAATGATAAGGGGCCTGCATCATTCATTTGCAAAATGCGTCATATTGACGATTAAGTGATCCATGGATCGATCGATATTGGTAAAACCCCCTGGGATTTTGCCCCTTTCCCATTTCGATGCCCATGGGGCATTTCCCAACGTCCAAAGGCCCGCTAAATGCCTGAGGGGGGGACACCGGGGGGGGGCTCCGTTAATGAATTGGCCAATCATGGTCTGGGGGGTCCCGGACTGGTTCCATTAGCTCTGGGCAGGCTTTCTAACCATACGAGTATTGTTTAGTTAAACCATATATTGCCCATATATTGCCCATACACCTATACCATACGGTCTAAGGCGTATGACCATATATGATCATACGCGGGATAAAGTTGCTCCGAGGTATAAAAAAAGTCATGTAAAGAAATCGGCAGCGTCACGACACTTGACCATCCTCCTAGTCCTGAAAAGCTTGTCTTCCCGATAGATCCGTAAGGTTCAGAGGATACTTGAATGGGAAGTCGGTTGTTTAGGCTAGATCTGTGCAATGTGCACTACTTGCAATGTCTCCGTCGTTCCGACCCTGGGCAACTATCAAGGTCGCTCTGAGTCACATTGTCAGACTCATGTCAAGATCCAGTCGTTCAGTTATAGCAGGCAGGCAGTACGATCCTGCCTAGTAGGCAACAACTGCTGCCTTGCAGGCAGCAGCAGCGCTCCACAGCATATAGTCTCATACGATCCCGCTCCTGTAGATAGAAATCAAGAGTCATTCATTACCCGATTGACTGAGGGACTTTCTGTCCTGCCGTTTGCCAGCTACCCATCTCAATCCACGCCGTTATGACGTTGATTGATTGCGATGGACTCATTCCTCATCGGCACGCCCAGTGATCGCGAGCCCTCCACAGCCGCAACAGTCGAGACGGCTTCTGAGATACCTGATGGGCACAGCTTACCCTCCGTTAATTCTTCCACCTCAACAACTCCAAAGCGCAAACGTATCACTACGGCCGACGCCACGTGGCAACACACTCGAAACCTCAAGGATCCGAGCCCGAGCGCGCTGGGCCAAAGCAAGACTTAGTATTCTACTGCAAATACTGCTGCAACCCACCCTACGCCACATACGTGTCTACCACATTCCGCAACCACCTACGTAAGATACACTCAGTTGAAGCCGCTGGCTCAGAGCCAAATTCAACCAAGAAAGCGCGCACAAGCCTCATTAAAGAGGCATTCAACAAAGCTGGCGAGATTGGGATTGCTAAGCTTCAAGAAAGAGAGGAGCAGGTGCTTCGGAACGCACTTAATCCAAAGGCAGCAATGGAAGCCTTAGTCCAGCTGGTTACTGTCCGCAATCTTCCATACAACTGCAACACATGGCCAGAGTTGCACGCTCTGCTTATGGCAGCAAACTATACGGCTGAAGAGCTTATCATTACCTCCCACGGCCACGTCCAAAAACTCTGTTCAAACTCATATGCGATCCACAAAGACATTCTTCGAACAAAGCTGCAATCATCACCTGCCAAGCTTCACCTCTCCGCTGACGTATGGAGCGCACCAAACCATAAAGCTTTCCTTGGAATATGTGTGCAATTTATGCAGGAAGGCACGAAAATCCCCTGTCAAGCACTGCTGGCCTTACCTGAACTTCCGGGTATAGACGGCCCTGGAAGCCACAGCGGAGCGGAGCAATGGAAGCTCCTTCAGCCGGTCATAGAGGAGTACGGCATCTTACGCCAGCCAGGCTATATTACAGGAGATAACCATGGTTCCAATGACGCGCTCTGTCGTCTATTGAGCCACTTCCTTGAGGGACAAGGCATCGCCTGGAATGCAAAACACCGACGGATCCGTTGCCATGGCCACGTTGTCAACCTTTGCGTCCAAGCCTTTCTTTTCATGGACAGCAAAGAGGCTGTGCTTGAGGCCTGCAGGCAGATTGAAGAGATGGACCAAGCTTCATTCAACATGGACATGATGGAGGGTTGGAAGAAGCGAAAGGAGCGTCGCTGGAGTCAACTCGGTCCGCTCGGCAAGCTGCATAATACTGCTATCCATATTAGAGCGAACGATTACAGGTACAGTCTCTTTCGGAGGCGTGCCGGCAAAGTCCTCGGGCTCGACAACGATACACGCTGGAACTCATGGTTTCTCCTTTTGGATACCGCTCTTGATAAGGAGGAGCATATCAAGTGGTATCAGGACAAATACTACGACGCTCTTGTGGACGACTAGTTAGCACCACAGGACTGGCAAAACCTCCGCGAGACACGGAACTTCCTACAGCCGTTTTGGAAGATAACTCTCCTTACTGAGGGCTATTGTTCAACTCTTGATTTTACGCTATTCACGATGGACGTCCTCCACAAACACTACCAGCAAGCTTTCAACAAATACAAGATGAACCAACGGCTACTCGGTCCAGTGCTGACGAGCTGGCATGTCTTCGACAAATACTACCAGCTCTCCGATGAGAGTCCGGCATATGGTGCAGCGCTTATTCTCCATCCATCCCGAGGAAAGGCTCATATACAGAAAAATTGGCCCAAGTCATGGCATCAAAAGACCTTTACAGGAGTGAAGAAGTTGTGGGAAGACGAATACAAGAACCTACCAACCGTTTATGCTACTCCTTCCATTACTCCAGCACTGGAACTGGATGAGTATGACCTGCTTGCACAGGAGCTTGACGTCATAGGCACAGAGCCCGGCATTGACGAATACGAAGCCTACACCTCCCAGTCACCCATTCCAATCGACTGCTCCCCACTTGTCTGGTGGCTCCGCAATGAGCAGAAGGAGCGCTTTCCTCGATTATCAAAGATGGCAATAGACATTCTCTCGATACCCGCCATGTCTGCTGACCCCGAGCGTACATTTTCGGGAGCACCGTGCACAATTTCATGGGATCGAATGCTCCTTGGAGCATCAACAATTGAAAAGGGGGAGTGCTTAAAGAGCTGGATTCGCAGCGGCATCACGGCAGGGTTACAAGTAGAGGAGGTCGAACAGTACGAGTACATGGCAAAGGAGGGAAGCACCAGCACTCCAGAGGAAGATATGGGTCCTTGACGTCATTTACCGTATTGGCAATATATGGTTTAGTTCCCCATACGAGAACAAACCATACACCATAAACCATATGGGTCCGTATGGCGTATGGCGTATGGTTAGAAAGCCTGGCTCTGGGGAGCCAACCAACCTACCACTAGCACCGCACTAAGTTACCCAACAATTTAGGCGCTGTGCCGACAGTTTATCCAGGCCACCAGACGTGGCGATAGGTACATCAGGAGAAACCCGGGTTTCACAGCCAGGACATCTTCTATTTAGAAGTACGATGACTTGTCCTTCCATGAATCCTGCTTTCTGGAGATGTTGACAGTTCCAATCCCCCACACTACTACTGACCTAGCTTACTATCCAAACAATCATCCATTTGTTCATTACACCCCGACACCCAACTAATCTCACAACTTCTCACGACCTACGCCCCATGGATTGGAGACACTCCAAGCTCTACGACAGTCGTGCCTCCTGGGCGCGGCCAATTCAGATCCGAGATAACGATCTCATGTTCGAGGGCAAAGCTCTGAGTACCTTGCACGAGGAGTCGAGGGAGGGGGTTTGCCGCGCGTGTTCTGAACACAGACGGGCCAGCAAGGCAACCGGAACGCGAGAATACGCAGCTGTGTGGATCAGGGACCCATACTTATTCCGGACGACAACACGTCTCACCTGTACAATAAGTTGCTGAGCTACTATTACTATTACAAGCTGGGAGCATCACAGCAGCCAGCACCGGGGCTTCATTGTCGCTGACGCTGCTGGAAGACCTACGATGCCCCTTTGTTGGCTGCTCCGGCAAAGATCTTCGTCCCGAGTGCACCGCCATCCGCTAAATATACCCAGGCTCCGTGACGGGTCCCTAGTCTCCCTTGCGAGTGTCCAGAATCACGAAACGACAAGCCTTACCTAGCCATGGAATGCCGTGATCCCTCTTCTTCGCCTCTACGGCTTGGTTCCATTTCTACATAGCCGACAATGGGGCATGTTACACCCGAGGTGAAGAAAGCGCCGGCTGAAGAGCCCCCTGAGCACGTTGACACGCAACCGGAGGTCAAGGGGAAGGAGTCGCCCAGGGCGCGGCGCATCGATGACTTCTTGGCCATAGGCATGTTTGTTACGATTACGGCGGCGGTGTTCGTCGCGGCCGGGTGCTCGTAAAGCTCCCTTGACCACATTCTAGGCTACACATGGAGACCGATAGAATGATTAATTATGTCCATCGTAAAAGGCGCCATAGTGTTTTGCCCGCTGGCGGCGCCCTCGACGGCCGATACCAGGCCCCCCGCTTGTGCCTCCTCCCACAGGCGGGCGGCATCACCGGGCTCCCACGCTATCTGAGCGTTTGGATTGTCCTGGTACCCGAAAAGCTGCACTGAGTAGCCACCACCGCCGCCCAGGTCGCTCTCGGGCGACAGCGCGCCGCCGGTAGGCCTCATGTACTCGGCCTTGACGGACGTCAGGTCGCCGACGCTCGAGGCTCTCGAATTGATGAGTTGCGTCGCCTGGCACTGGATGTAATCCTCGATGAAGGAGCACCCGCACCCGCCGTGCTGCAGGACTAAAGTCTTGAGCATTAGGACCTCGTTGCGCAGCTGGGACATCTCGGCCGCGAGGGCGTGGTTCAGCTCGCTCGCGGCGGCCTCCTTATTTTGCAGCTCCCTGATGTCGCACTGCTTCCGCTTACGGCATTTCTGGGCCGCCTCACGATTGCGGAGGCGCAGACAGGCCTGCTTGTCCGTAAGGATGTCGGCGGTGGCAAGGGGTGTAGGATGCCTCTTTTCCGGGGGTGGTGTCGGTAAAGTTCGAGAGGCGCTCGCTGCTTTGTGAGAGCAGGACGAGCGTTGATGCTTCTGCGGCGGCTCGTTGGTAGGCAGTGGGGGGTTGACGGCTTCGGTCCCGGCTTGTTTCCGGTTTGCACGATGCCGTGTCTGCTGAACCATGGTGTGATGATGAGTTAGGTGGAGGTGTGTGAGAGGACGCTTGTGATAAAGATTCACTCTAGCAGGGTCCGTGGGGAGTGCATGTCTGACGATCAGGGAGGACATTCCAGGCTATATACGGACGGCAGAGATGCCCGGCAAAGGCGGGTGCAGAACTGACGTGGGAAAGAGGCCGAAGCTGTACTTTCAGCATTATCCAATAATGGGAAAGGAACTAGCTGTGGGAATGCGCGGCGCCCCGCCAATTTCGTCATCGGCTGGGGCAGCGAGGTTAATTAGGCAATTGGGGGCATCCAGCTTGCCAGTGGTCGAAGTGTTATAGAGCTGTACCCTGTCAGAGCCGGAGCTTTTGCTCCGTGATCGACCAAAACCTGAGCAGTACCCCCAACACTCCAACATTGACATGTCCTCCACAAACCACCCATGTGCTTTTCAACGCAATCGGAAATCCACAGGTATCCAAACGTCCTTTAAAAGTCCTTCTGGCGTCGGTGCATGGCCCAAAATCAGATGTCACAGGCGCGCGATATGGGGACACGGCATCGCAAGCCTGCCGTCATCCCACCCCGCCACACATCTTAACGCAGCAATCCGCCTATATACACAGGATCGAATCCCTGAAATTCGATCGAAGTGCTAGCCCTTCCTGCCGCTCCTCGTTCTGAACCTTTTTTTTACCTCCCAATCCCACTACACCTACTACTTACTACCTGCCCTCTTGTCAGGACAATTGAGTGAACGCCTTCACTGTCCATCGTCAGTGTTCGAGCCGACAACAACCTCGCCGCTCCCGAGCTCTGAACCGTGTCGAATATTTGAGCCCTCACTAAACGGCATACCAAGTGGATCTCAAGACAATTCCGGAGGTAAGGCAGGCCTGCGCTCCGCCCCTTTCCCGCCCAGCACCCGATGGCCTTACTTGTACTTCCCCCCTCATTTTGCAGGCGGCGGGCTTGTAATTCTTATTGCAGTACTAGCCACCGAGTGATCACTGACCTCAACCATCTAGGAAAGCAAGCTATTAGAATCCACTCCCACCATAATTAGTGTCATCCGGAAAACCACTGCAGCCCATGAGCACAACACTACCTCGGCGAAAACCCAGAGTGTGTACACGAGAAGCTTGTGAGACGTGCAGGGAGAAAAAGTCAAAGGCAAGTTTCATGTTCCGACACCCTCCCTTGATCCCAGCTCCCACTAACTGTCTGTCCTTTCCAGTGCGATGGCGAACAACCCTGCTCGAGATGCGAAGCCCGTGGGCTAGAGTGCAGATACCAGATCCGAAATCATAGAACCAAGCACAGCCTGCGAAATGAGCTCAGTATCTTGAAGAAGAAGCAACGCTTACAGGAGGTTCTCCTCGCAGCGTTGCAAGATCCGCAGCGGCGCGAGGCCGCAATGCAACTACTAGATACCGCCGCTCCGCTTTCTGGAGCCGCGAGGCTCTGGCTGAAAAACGATATCGACAACGAAGAAGAACAGTTCTCGGAGACGATCCCTTCAAAGTCCAGCGATGGTGGACACAGGACTACGTCCGAGTCTGCTAGTCCATTCCCGGATCTCTCCAATCCCCAGCACACAAAAGAGGACTTTGCAACATCTCCCAGAAGTTCCAATATCTCGCCCGTGCGAAGAGACTCCATCTCCGACATGCCGAATTCTGATACGTTTTCGATAACTACAGCATCCGACGGGGTTGGCAACCAGATGAACGCGCTCACCATGGACAAGCCCCCCAGCTTCTCACGATACTCACAGCCCTTTCCCTCCGCAACGGACGCACCTGGGTTAAGCACAACCCAATATGACGGCCAAGCCGACAGTTCTGGAGAGATGTTCACGCCGCCGTGGCTCGATCCTTTACTTGCCGGCGGCACCAACCCGACAATCTCTCAGCAAAACAACGACTCATATCAGCCAATACCTTACGGCAGCATTCATACATGGACTGGAAACTCAGGAAGCTCGATGGTGCCGCAAGCCGGTTCAACACAGCAGGCAGCTCGTGAGTTCGACAGCACGCAGTTCGGGCAGTGGGCACCACCGCAGGCCGGTGAGAGGAAGCTGTCCACGGCGACATCGCCACTAGCCCCGAATTTGGCGAGTATGCCCTTCAGTCTCGAGGCCAACTCTGCCCTGGAAGACTCTGGCTGGATGTCGGTACCTTCGGCCTATTCAATTGCAGACACAGGCCATCGACCGAGCACTAGGAGATTCTCTGTCTCCTCAAAGACCTCCAACGGCGGGCTGTCAAAGCAGTCGAAGCCGCCCCAGTCTCAATCTCGCGAGCGCCATCGCCTTGCTTCTGCGCGAAATTGGCACAAGCAGAAACAAGCCACCGCCGACCTCCAAGCTAGCAAGGACCGCGCGGAGGCGCAGCACGCCGCGCTGAAAGAGGTGTACAACGATGTTCTCAACCAAGTGCAGCAGATCAAGCACGCGTTGATGGGACATGTCGGCTGCAACGACCCCGCCATTAAGATGTGGCTCGAACGGGAGACGAACAAGGTGCTGAGCGGGCTGCAGAACTCCCTCTCCGATGGCGGGGCGGAGGCTCAGGGGCTAAAGTCTCGCCCTGCGAGCATCGTTGATGGGACCGAGGTTCCCTATCTAACGCCGGAGGACGACGATATTGCAACTGAGAAAAAGATGCCTCGCGCGGAGGGCAACGACATTTTGAGGAGGGGCGTTGAGGTGAATGTTAGGGCATAAGGGAGGGACTGCGGTAATGATTCTCCCATCTCACAGGCCATACCCACGATAGCTATGCACAGAGGTATTCGGAACATACAGCGAATTATTCTTGCCTTTCCATTTTCATTCACGCCCTTGACCTGCCCTCACTGATGATTCTTCTCTGCGCCTTGGACACGGCAACACTTGCCTTGCGGGTGTTCGTCGCTCAAAGATCTCATCCAGTTCCTCCAACGTCTTGTTCTTTGTCCCGACAAAGAAGTACGTGAATGCCACCTCAGAGGAATTCAAGAAGACGAAGAAAACGTAGAAGGAGTAGCCGATCTGCCGCCGTGTAGATACTCGAGTATTACGAGACGCGTCGGAAAGGAGACTTACACCAGAGAGTGCAATGGGACTAACAAAGGTATTCAGGAAGCCCGCGGCGCCAGCCGTCAGCTTGAAGACTTTATTATTTCACTTTTTCCCTCCATTAAGGTACGGAATGGTGGTTTCCTGCTTATTTCCCCCCTTTCGGTATCAAGTGGCCGCCCGCAAGGCTCGGCCAAGGCTCATTCCGACCTCCACGGAAACCTGGATTTGCTGCTTACTTAGGTCAAGTAGATCCTGATCGAACTCAATCCTGCCGTGCTGAAATGCCACGATGATAGACGAGCCTCCAAACTGGAAGAAGCCAAGTTCATCCCCTTTTTGGATCTTTGCCCCGTGCTTCTGCCACTGATCATGGATCCTGAAAAACATCAGCTTAGTGTTATGACGAGCTTCTGTTGTGGAAGACTCACTGAACGGTTCCGACTTCTGTCGCGCCGATGGCGACAAAGAGGACGTCTCCAAATTCCTTCGTTTCGATTAGGACATACTGCCTTCTGTTCCGCGTCAATATGTCCACATCGCTGTGAAGCGCAATCGGATCGACTTGATAGTAGTCCCCAGGCACGCTTCGAAAGAGCTTGATGGTGCCCGCCACGGGCGAGTGATAGCGGTGATAGTCTTGCGGAGAGAGGCGGAAGCTTGCCACCGCACTGCCGGTAAAGGATTCGCCGAGCTGCGTATCCATGGCCAGGTTGGAAATATTGAAATCTCGCCCCTTAATCCAGAGCGTCTTGGCCATGGCCAAAGACCCATACACAACAACTCGGGAGTCTGCTACCACTGTTGCCTTGGAAGGGTTCTCTTTCTCGTGGATCGGGCGGGAGCCAGGTTTGTGGGCTCGCGTGAAGAAGTCCTCGAATGTGTCGTAGTCGCCTATGTTAGATGGTTCAAAATCGCCCATATCAATGTTAAAAGCTTCAACGAAAGTTTTGATCTGTTTCTTCGAGGCCGGCGTTCCTTCGTCCCTGCCTTTGCGCGATGTTAGATCCCGCCACAACAACAAGGGAAGGATATCGAGAATTACCACTAGCGACGGACTTGTTATGGATGTACAGGCGCATCGCATGCGTGGTATCGATCCATTCCGTGATGGGGTTGAAGAGCAGAATAAGTTTAATCTTTTTCAAAAGGAGCTGCTGTTCCCGTTCCAGCCTTCCCGTCTACGCGCTCCCAAGTCTTGGAGTCAGCGTGTAGCCCACGAAGTGCCGAGGTTGCAGACCATACCTTGCGATTCAGTGACGGATACCCAAACTCGCAATTTTGGGCCTAAAAGGTCAGCATTGTTCCGTCGCCTGATGTATTGTGGATCGTACCATATGCGCCCATGACATGACATAATCGACAATGGCATGAATTGTACTAAGGAACCACATTTCAAAGGGAGGTCGAGTTCAAAGATGCTTCAGGTGTTTGTTCCCAGAAATGTTTCCCAGCAAAAACCTTCGTTGGCGGTAGGCTGTGTATTTGTATTGTCAGAGGTCAGTTTTGTGGATGATGAAGTAGTGATGCAATTGCGGGGACGGAACCATTTCGGAGCAGGTATCACCTGTTGGGTACCATTGGTCGCGGCAATGATAAATAATTGAGCTATAGAAGATGAGCACCGAGGGCATCGATGCTTGTGGCGAGCATTTAATATTGTACCTCGACACAGCATCATGACATCCCTCCCCGGCCACTGATGAGACCTATTTGCAGCCCTAGTGAGCACTGCGACGAGACCGCCTGCAGTAAACGTTGCTTCGTCCGCTCCTGCTGTGATTGGTGTCTTACGCATTTGAACAGGAACGACGAATGCTGCCAACTTGGTAGGGCAATCGTCCTGAAAGCATCACGCGACAGTATATTGCTTCGGGTGGCTTACGTCCCGTATCGTGTTGAAGGGAGGCATGCAAATCCCTATTCTCTAATCCTCGAGTCCGTCCGCCAGTAGATCTAGAAGGTGTGGAACCATATCTTCATAAGCAGCCAAGCCATCTTCTCCACACTCATACAGTGCCATCACAGACGACGGAGTGGTAAACCAAACGTGGCTGGGTGACTTCATGCAGGACTCGACAGTGGACCCCCTTCAGGCTAACCAAGCTATTCCCTCATGCGACTCCAGGGAGGCTCAGAAGAGGCTGGCCACCTCGCAGCCATCATTCCCTTGCCGAAGACGCCCAAGGTGATCATTTTTAAGAATCGTGACCTGAAGGACTATATTACCCCCGGCCCCAGCAAGGCTGCCTTCATTCAACGCTCCTTCGAGCACTACCCCAGAGCAGACATCGACCTCCACACCCTCGTCTTTCCAGACACAGGCCCAACGGCGCTGCAACGCCCACAGAAGGAGCGGAGCCTTATATCTGCGGAATTAAATAACTTGATCGATAAGCGAGCGTGTTAAACCAATGAGTGTGCAACTTGACTTCGTGATCGCAACCATTCGTATCTCACCGCGTTTTCTTCTACGAATAAGCATGCCACCAAGTTCCGACGAAGGTTAATTGTAACTTGCCCTCTAGAAGACGACCCCAGTCTTAAAATCTGGGGCACTGCAAATATCTACGGTGTCTGCCACACGAAGCTCTGTCGGCCTGTGAAGGGCATGGCTTCGCAACGCGACTTCACCCCCTAGTCACGGGAATTAACCGAGCTAGAAAAATCGTTCATTGAAGGCGGCGGCATGGTAATGAAGTCGCATTTCCAAGCCTTCCTCTCCAACCTTCGCCCGCGGAAAGTAACACTACCGTCTACTATGTAGCCTTTTGATGTTGCTCATACCATCGACAGACTCCTCAGGTCCGGCTACTAGCTAACGGAGTTCAGGGACGCGACGGGAACGGGCGTGAGGCGTGGTCGCGACGATTGGGGCACGGTTCATAACCCAGCTACTCCCCCTCCCGATACATTTCGTCACGCGGTTTTGTTGGCAACCTGCCGCGTATTTGCACCATTCGATTGGTCTCGTGGCAGGCAACAAGTAGACATGCCGTGCGATAGGCACCGAACTGTTCACAGGCAGTCGACTTGGTCTGATGGAAGCACCTCGCTACCTTAGTTGCGACTCCGTGTTACATGATTGCGGAGCAAGATCGGCAAGATAGCAACTTGAAATGCAGGCTGTCTACCTTGTGCCATCATCGCGATAGGCCCCGCCTTCGCCCTACTTACCCCTCTTCTGAGTCGCGTGGGGGGGTTCTCGAGAACTTCCGGCTCGGGCCACCAATCAAACCCCTCTGCCAAGCTGCGCGGCTGGCAAAGTGCGACACATGATTGGATTCGGCTGTTGACAGACGACGTCAACATGACTCCATCTTGTCGTCAGGGTATTCACCCCTGAGCTGCCTGGCCTCTTGCAGTTGTGCGGATGCGATGCTCGGAATGGGTAGCCACGCCGTCGTGCACTTACGAGCCGGGGGCTGGGCTAATCGGCAGGTGACCACAAGGTTTCAGCCCGTTAGCCAATGATGAGGAGCCCACACGAAGTACACCCTACTACCGTACCAGCAAATCCCATCATTACACGCTACAATGTATGGGGATCGTCCTGGTTTCCCATGCAGTAAGTATGCAGCCTGGTGATGCCCTTTCCCATGCCACTTTTCTGTTTTCGCCTCCAAGCCCACTCGTCAATTCTGGGGCTGCCCGCCTCCCGGGGGTTATGGCGTGTCTCACCTTGCGACTCGAAAGTCTATATGAAAGCGCATGCACCCATGACACCTGTTAGATTAAGGGAAGCGATATACCTATAAGGTATATAAGTAGATAACTAGATAGAACTAGTTAGATAAGAGGGAGTTTAGTAAGGTGGATAGAATAGGGTAGGTCTATATTTTTTATAGACTATAGAGCTTATTCTTCTATCTCTATTCTACCTAGGATATCTTCGATATATATAGAAAAGGCCCTTCGGGTTCCGGGGCCTTTAAGGGCCCGTCTCGGGGTCCTAACAGACCCTAGGGCCGTTTAACCATATTCTATTAGGTATAGATTATATCCTAGTTCCTAATAGTCTATACAACTAGGCCCACTAGTTTTGAATAGTATCTCTAGGGCTTCCGTAATATATATACTAGCCTAGTTAGGCTTCCGGAAGTTCCGGTATTTCTAGTAGGTTCTATCCTAGGCCCTTATAGGGCTAGGGATATTTCTATTAGCCTAGGGGGTTATTCTAGGTAGCTACCCTGGAGAGCTACCTTAGAGAGCTACCTTAGAAGGGTATATATATTGATATAGACTAGAGGATCTGTTAGTAGACTTACCTACCTATATTCTAGGATTTAGTATTGTACATAGTATTAGACATAACGTAGATGTATAGCGAGTGAGACAACCCAGCGAGTGAGACAACCCAGCGAGTGAGACACCTCACCACGACTACGCGACTATGTCTCCTTAGCATTCAACCCCAACGCCTTAAATCGAGCAAAATCACTCCTCGTCGTCTTCCTTAGACGATGAGATAACTATCTGACAAGTTCTCGCGTTGTGGCCGGCTTTCCCGCAGGTGCCACACCACCGTTTCTTCGTTTCCACCCTCGGCTTCGTTTCCACCCTCGGCTTGCGACCACTACTTTGCTGCGTTTCCTGCTTCACTTGGGTGTCCACCTCGATCTGAGCCTGCAGATCCTGTCCCTCGCCTAGAGTCATGCTCCCTCCTTGCCGGAGACGTGTCTTTTTAGCTCTCCGACGCTTGCTAGTGCCTCCATCCCCTCTCGAAGGATGCGGTTCTCTGACTGGAGAAGTGCGATCTTATGCATGAATCCCCGCGTCCCTTTCGCAAGGTGCTCGACAGCATCAATAATTGACGTTGGCGAGCTATTCTGATGACGGAGATTCGACCTTTGATAAATTCTGATTGCGAGCTCGCTTCAATCGGGTTGTTTAGCGTCTTGGAGACCCAATGTTCGGGTTTCCTCTGACCACGCTCCGGCGGTGTCGGCGTCCGTGGCTTCACGTTTAGACGCGAAATCACAGATTTCGGGTTAAAAGGCACAAGGCCTGCGCCTCGAAAACCTCCCTGAACATTCCTTTCCGTCATGGCCGCTTGGAATGCCGCCAAAAACGCAGGGAAGAAATCCTCCTCGGTGATGTGGCTTGTGCCGGCCTTCATCATCTCCTCGATTTGCCGACCGTACGCCTGCTTGAGCGGGCCAAAGCAGCCGACATCGAGAGGCTGAAGAATGTGAGACGAATGGGGAGGCATACAGAGAGTAATGATGTTGTTCTCCTTGCAATGGAGCTCGAAGTCTGTGTAGTCGTGACTTTCATGGCCATCGAGGATGAGCAGGCGATACCCACCTGTTTTACGAGGCTTGGTATGCTTGTCGAAATGCTGAATCCATTCCAGGCCTCTCTCGTTCGTTGTCCAGCCGTTATCAGATGTGGCGATCACCCAGTCTTGTGGTAGAGGGCTGTTCTCGTACCAGGCTGAGAGGTGATTCTTGCCCGAAACGATGATAAACGGAGGGACCGTTCAGCCCGAGAATTGACGCCCTGGATGACTTTCACCTATTCCCGATTACTAGGCTGCACTAGCTTCGTGTTTGAACGCCTGTTTGCACTCGTGACGACAACGCCGGATGAGATAACGCCCATCTGGAAGCCAGTCTCATCGAAGTTGTAGATATCCGAGTCTACGATGCCATAACGTACATGATAAGCGAGTGGCGCAAACAAGCGAGTGGCGCGCAACACCACAACCAGGCGACTATCACCCCCAATAAGTCGACCAAAACACCTGGAATCAATTGAAATCAATCGGAATCGCCTTCCTCAGACAATTTCACTACTATCTGACAACTTCGTGCGTTATGTCCTGTCTTGCCGCAGACACCACAGCGCCGTTCCTTCACCTTTGTCCTCGACTTGCGACCGCTACTTTGTCTCTTTTCCTGCCTCACCTGCGCATCCACCTCCTTCTGGGCCTGGATATCCTGTCCCTCAGATAGCGTCATGCTCCCTCCCTTTCGGAGACGTGACTTTTTGGCCCTTCGACGCCGGCTGAGTATCTCATTCTCCTCTCGAAGGATCCGGTTCTCAGACTTGAGCAGGGCAATCTGATGCATGATTCCCCGCGCCCCCTTCGAAAGCCGGTCGACAGCTTCATAAATAGATGTCGGCGAGCTATTCTGATGACGGGAGATTCGGCCCTTGATGAAATCCGTCTGAGAGCTCGCTTCAGTCGGGTTGTTTGGCGTCTTAGAAACCCAAGGTTCAGGCGTTCCACGACCCCGCTCCACAGGTGTCGGCGTCCGTGGCTTTACATCCAGTCGGGAAATCACGGCTTCAGGGTCAATCGGAGCAAGTCCTGCGCCTCGAAAACCTCCCTGGATGTTCCTTTCCGTCATTGCCTCCTGGAATGCCGCGAAAATTGCGGGAAAGAAGTCCTCCTTGGTGATGTGGCTTGTACCGGCCCTCATCTTCTTCTCGATTTGCCGTCCATACGCTTGCTTGAGCGGGCCAAAACAGCCAACATCCAGAGGTTGGAGTATATGAGAAGAGTGAGGAGGCATACAGAGCGTGACGACGTTGTTCTCCTTGCAGTAGAGTTCGAAGTCCGTCGAGTGGTGACTTTCGTGGCCGTCCAGGATGAGGAGGCGATATTTGCCTGAAGAGCGCGGTTTGGTGTGCCTGTCAAAATGCCGAATCCATTCCAGCCCTCTCTCATTAGTGGTCCAGCCGTTGTCAGACGTGGAGATCACCCAGTCTCGCGGTAGAGCGCTGTTCTCGTACCAGGTCGAGAGGTGGTATTTGCCAGAAACGATGATGTATGGGGGGACCGTCCAGCCTTGGGAATTGACGCCCTGGATCACGGTAACCCATTCCCGATTTCCAGGCTGGGCTAATTTCGTGTTGGAACGCCTGCCTGCACTGGTGACGACCATGCCTGTCGAGATGATGCCCATCATAAAGCCGGTCTCGTCGAAGTTGTTCATATCCGACTCCGCGACGCCGTACTTCGCGATTGTATTCCGTACAAGCGCAAACCAGCCAAGAATGATCTCCGGATCTTCACACCGGGCCCTCTTGTAGTCGTATCTGCGAAAGAAACGCGTCCGGAGCTGCGGTTGTCGCTTTACGAAGTTAGAGGCCCAGCGCTTCCCGACGCTGGGCGCGTCGCGCTCGGCGAGCAGTCGATTGGCCATATCTTCCACTCCACGAAGCCGCGGAGGGAACGATCGCGCATCTAGGTCCAGGACATATTGAACAATTGTCATTTCCTCCAGATCTGTCAAATTCCGCGATTTGGGCGTGGTATCGCGTCGTGAGGACCGGCCGTTGAGCCGGCGACGAAGTGTCGTTTCCGGGACGCTGTAGATTCTAGCTGAAGCTCGGACCTTGAGATTTGGGTCATTCTGGATAGCCCGAATGGCTAGGATCAATTGGCTCTCTTGGGTTCCTGACTCCATTGTTTGTAGCAGAGAAAAGCGCGTTTGAATGGGGAAAGTCGCGTAGTCGCGGTCCCGTGCGCCACTCGCTTGTTTGCGCCACTCGCTTATCATGTACGTTACATGCTGTATCGTTTCCCTGCAATTGTGTCTTTCGCAGCTGTGTACGAACGATATCCTTCCGATTTAAATCTTTCCATAGCTCTGCCTCGTTTCTGGAGGTATCTGGCTAGTTTTGGGTCTTCTTGAATGGCGAGCTTCTGATCGACGGTCAGTCTTGTTGGGGCATCGCCATGACGTTGCAGTCGGCCCATGAGATGAAGCATGTCCGTTTGTGGGTCGCTTCCAAACACTATGGACTGGTTGTCGGAACCAATGAAATCGCCCATGTAATATCGCACGTAAGTGGACGAGTCTCCCAGCCGGTGTCCCATGGATTTATTTCGCTCCTCTGGAGTGAGCGCCTCTGTACGTTGTTAGTAAGATTACAATTGTTCTGCGGGGTAGTCATACCGTTCAACTTCTTTCCAGAGCCACGACGAAGGTCGTAAAATTCAAGCTTCTTTGCATACCCCAGTGCTCGGCCGAGTCGTATCAAATGTCCGCGAGTTTTACTGTACGTGAGGGCTTTGTCAAGAGCCATTTGAAGACCCTCCGTGGTACGGAATATCGGACGCTCAGCCCAGTCCCTCTTCCACAAAAGCCGTAACCGGTCTGACCGCGGCGGAACGACCAGATCGTAAATCTGTTCGGGCCCAGAGAACCCATTCAGAAATGCGTCATCAGCGAACGCCAAGGCCAGCGTATGAAGCACTGGATCATGCAGGAGCGTGTCCTCTTCGTGAAAGCCAAGAGACCTTTTTCTCTGATACACCGGCAGATCTCTTGA